TTCGCCATCAACCGCAACTATGGAACACGAAGACCCGCCTCCTGCAACATGCGCTGCCTCTACGTCCATCACTCCATCTTCATCAATTACGACACCTGCACAATGTTCTATGCTATCCTCACAGCCTCCTGCATCGCAAACTACAACTTCCACCGTTCCGACACAACTTTCCGTCCTCGAACTTGATGACATGATCCTTACTCAAATTCCTCTACCCTCCTCCGAACTTACTTCATCCCAACTCCCGGCCTCCTCATCCCAACTCCCGCACTGCACTGCTCCAACCTCCCAACACCCGCTATTTGTACAATCCTCACTCCCTCTCCTCTCTTCGCAACTGACCTCATCACAAACGACACCTTCCACCACCCTAACCTCCCAACAGCCCAGACGGGATTCCTGGCTTGCCCTCATCAACAAAGACAAAATTGAACACATAATCGAACAGATTTTGTGGGAGGGCTTTCTCAAAACCAACCACGCAGCCTTCTCGCCTCACATTTACGACTTCTTCACCATTTACAAACACAACCGCAACCACTCTCTTCGCCGTCCAGCCCCCTCACCCGACTGCAAGATCCGATATGCACACGCAAGAACTTTCCTGCTCAAAATCATCAATGACGATTACAACCGAACACCTTCCCCCCGTACACCACGACCCCAGTATCAATACGAACGCATTACTACAGCACACCACAAACATTCTTTCATACGCTCTGCACCACCACCCCAATTACCGTTTCTCCAACCTCACAATGCACAAAACCCCTGCCCGCTTTGGTGGCTCCCGCTCGAACCTCGGGGAGCTACACAAGCGACAGCACTCATCCACGACATCCTTGCCTCCCGCAATACACTTGCCATCTACAATATTCCCCACCCGCCGCGAACATGGGACTACCTGAATGCCCTCATCCTTCTCCACCACCAAGATATGCAAAGACCACTACCGCCTTTCCCTGCCTACAGAGCAAATATTGTCTGTCGTGCTGTCGCATACCTCCACACCCAAAATCCCTTGCCCCATCACTGACCCTCCTATAATCACATCACAACAACTGTTATTGTCGTCGCATTCTTTTGGGTGACATCTTCACTCCTATCAACTGCCCCGACTGCTCTCCATGTGCTCACTGCATCGTCACGACACATCTGGATACTCCCTCTACTACATGCTTGCGGACTACGAAAAGAGCATTGGATTTCGGCAAAACAACTTCTTCGTCACATTTGGAGCTTCGCGATTTCGCCATCCCACCCTGTTCGTCACTTCTTTTCACGACAACAAGAGAAACAGAAAGAGAAAGACACGGAGAGAGAGAGAGAGAGAGAG